ACTATAATAAAGTAATACACTTTAACACTGCTTCATTTGGCACTATAATAAAGTAATACACTTTAACACTGCTTCATTTGGCACTATAATAAAGTAATACACTTTAACACTGCTTCATTTGACACTATAATAAAGTAATACACTTTAACACTGCTTCATTTGACACTATAATAAAGTAATACACTTTAACACTGCTTCATTTGGCACTATAATAAAGTAATACACTTTAACACTGCTTCATTTGACACTATAATAAAGTAATAAATTTTAACAAAATGCTTTGATCTGGGCACTATAATAAAGTAATACATTGAATTTTTATCTCGCTGAAGTACATTTTTACAAGATCTTCCAATACTGACGTATACATGCGATGTGTGAATTTTCAGTTCAAACGCTGTCAATAATTAAGGTTTGTATAAAATATTCTAAACTGTTTCCATAAACAGTTATCACCTGGAAAATATAATGGTCCAATTATCAGGGATCTCTTTCAAGAAACAGAGATCAAGATGTGTGGGGAATGTAATTTTCCTATGTTACATTCATGCACACACTCTTAACTTTTACTGCACTGCCAAAGAAGTAAACTTATTCCATCCACACCTTACATGTAGTGTTAAGACTAACTGACCGTTGAATGGACAGAGTTCAATTTGAATTGAGTAAAGTAAATTAAAATCACCAGTTAAAGCATTCTTTGCTAGAAATTAACTAAACCCAAAGTTAAAATTTGTTTAAAAGAATGTATGATAATTTTAAAAACAAGTAATGTAAAACATAAATGCAATGAACTACAACACGTATTAAGACCGTAGTTCTCAATCTACCACTACACAAAAGAGAGAACCAAAACGAACATGCTTTACTGCAAAGTTAATTCATACTTTTAGTTTATAAAATTTATTAAGTTATTTTCACACACACAAACACATATGTATACTTTGGAAATAACTAAATAGTTTACATATACAATGAAACAATGAAACTATAGTTTTTAAAATTATATCACCACTTGCATGATCAAAATTATTGCATAACAATTGTAAATAAGTATTTCTTACAATAAAACCTCTTTAAATGTAAATGAAATCAGATGAAAATGCAACATTGTCTTAAGTTTTTATTGAGGACCCACCTGATAATTTCATACCAAAAATGCAATATTACTATCAGGTTTTTATTGAGGACCCACCTGATCATTTCATACCAAAAATGCAACATTGTCTTAAGTTTCTTATTGAGGACCCACCTGATCATTTCATACCAAAAATGCAATATTACCATCAGGTTTTTATTGAGGACCCACCTGATAATTTCATACCAAAAATGCAACATTGTCTCAAGTTCCTTATTGAGGACCCACCTGATCATTTCAAGACAAAAATGCAACATTGTCTTAAGTTTCTTATTGAGGACCCACCTGATAATTTCATACCAAAAATGCAATATTACCATCAGGTTTTTTATTGAGGACCCACCTGATCATTTCAAAACAAAAAAGCAATATTACTGTCTCAAGTTTCTTATTGAGGACCCACATGATCATTTCAAGACAAAAAAGCAATATTACTGTCTCAAGTTTCTTATTGAGGACCCACCTGATCATTTCAAAACAAAAATGCAATATTACTGTCTCAAGTTTCTTATTGAGGACCCACCTGATCATTTCTGCTCCGTCCAGTGTGCAGCTTACCACCAGGAACAGGACCAATCAGTTCCTGAAATAAACTAAATTGGTATCACCGACCTAAACAGAGCTGTTACATGAAACCAAACACACTCGGGAAATCAATCCCCCCCACATTAATAAGCTAAAGATTATTTTCAATATTACGACTTGAATCCAGATATACATTTCTAACTTATTTTCTCTGATTATGCAGTGAATATTAGGTGTACTCCGATACATATATATAATTACTAAACATTTCTCTACAATAACAATTCATGAGACAAATACTGAAGAAATTTCAACAACATTTACCTTAAGCCTTCTCTCGTTGGCTGTGTGAATATCTTCATCTCCTTGTTTAATTTCAAATTCATCATTCACCCATTCTTTTCTTACCTGTTATCATACAAAAAGACTGGTGGTAGCAACTAGAACTACGACACTTAATGTACTTGAAAATTGCAAAACAATATAACGGTGAAATTATTCAAACTATCCATATATATAACTCCACTTCACAGAGGCACAAAAACCAACTGATTTCATATAATTTATCATGCTGAATTTAAAAATATGCACAAATGTATATACAAACAAAACCCTTGAAGTTGAAGCCAAGTCCAAAAACTAAGGATATGTATATAAAAATATCTTATTCAATTTATGTTCAAAATTAAGGGCATTTCAAAACCAAACTCTAAGACCACCCAGCAAGCATATTGCCACTCTGCCTCAGGAGCAGGTGTCAGAGCATTAAAGTGGTGTTTTTTCGTTATGTGTACATGGTCACTAAAAGACACAAATACAGTTTTAAAATACCTAATAAAATACATTTTACAATTATATTGTGTGTTTAAAACACATACATTTTTTACAAAGGCTTATTATTTACATAATACACAACAAAGATATTTGTTTTAGTTATTTGGGTTAGCTGGCAGGAGAGGATGTGCGAAAAGCATTATAAAAATCAAGGTTGTTTATATTTTTTGACAGATTGTTTTTGAAACTGAAGTTGAATGAGCCTAAAAGTATTTCATATATCAGTGGCGGATCCTGGATTTTGAAAACGGTAAGGCACGATGATTCTGAACGTAAACGAGGAATTTTTGGGACTTCCCCGGTAGGGGTTAAATGGGTTGTTTAGATTTGTTATAATGTTTGCTAGATGTTGTTGTTATTGCTTTTTTATTTTTTGAATTTAATATGAAATTTAATTACATTCTTCCCTCCTCAAAGATCAAATTTTTGCAATTATTTTGATTTTATTTTCATATTTTCATTTGTTCTTTACATATATTGTTTGTTTTGAATTTTGCGCAAAGCTACACGAGGGCTATCTGTACTAGTCATCCCTAATTTAGCAGTGTAAGACTAAAGGGAAGGCAGCTAGTCATCACCATCCACCACCAACTCTTGGGCTACTCTTTAACCAACGAATAGTGGGATTGACCCCATGGCTGAAAGGACGAGCATGTTTGGTGTAATGGGGATTCGAACCCGCGACCCGCAGATTGCGAGTCGAGCATCCTAACTACCTGGCCATGCCGGGCCTTACATATATTGCAAAAAGTTTTTAAGATTTTTTATTTTGGTAATTCCCAACTCTGACCAACTACTTCCCTGTTTGTAATATTATGTATAATCTGTTTTCAAACAGGCATGTGAAAAACTGATTAAATATGTAGAAGAAAAAAAAATAAGACAAAGAAAAATTATAAATGTTTGTGTGAAAATTTTATTAAACTGTTTCACACCATGTGTTACTCAAATTTAAAAACATCCCCTTTTACACTGTATTTTGAAACCTCCTGAAAATATCACACTACAGTGTGAAGTGTGATATTTTGTAGTTTCACACTACAGTGTACAAAACAGCTAACAAGACTGGACTTACGAAAGACATAATAAATTTCAAAAACAAATTTTACAAAATTAATTTTTTTTTCTACATAAATATATCGATATCCTAAGATTTTCCAACAGAAAAGTAATTCAACAATTTATTTTATAAATCATTACTTAACATTCTCAGCGCTCGTGAACTGTATAAATTAATGAAAGACGTGGAAGCGGTAAACAAGCGTTACATTTGTAGCATATGTAAACTGAATGTTCCCTAAATTTCAACACTGTACATTTGTAGTATATGTAGACTGGATGTTCCCTAGATTTCAACACTGTACATTTGTAGTATACGTAAACTGGATGTTCCCTAGATTTCAACACTGTACATTTGTAGTATACGTAAACTGGATGTTCCCTAGATTTCAACACTGTACATTTGTAGTATACGTAAACTGGATGTTCCCTAGATTTCAACACTGTACATTTGTAGTATACGTAAACTGGATGTTCCCTAGATTTCAACACTGTACATTTGTAGTATACGTAAACTGGATGTTCCCTAAATTTCAACACTGTACATTTGTAGTATACGTAAACTGGATGTTCCCTAAATTTCAACACTGTACATTTGTAGTATATGTAAACTGGATGTTCCCTAAATTTCAACACTGTACATTTGTAGTATATGTAAACTGGATGTTTTTCACTAACATGGACACGTTTCACTCCAGTGCCTCGTAATAATTAATCAAAAAGTCATAATTGTGTAATTTTTTCACACACAAAATATACTTAAACCATGTTGGTCGTGCATAGACATCATATGTCTTTTTTAGAATAATTAAAGAACTAGTTTCAGAATAGGAAATTAAATAATTACAATTAGTTAAATGTTTTTCTTGATGTAGCCAGCAATGAGGAGTTAAAGTCAAACTTACCAGTGTTATCTAACATAGAATTTTAGCATCACCTCTTTAAATATACCAGTATTACGCTAATAAACAGACAAAAAATAAAGATGTTAGCATTTTGTATTTTTTAGATGTTTATAGATAAAAAAAAACAAATAGTTTACTTGATCTAATCCATCACAAATCATTTGTCTTTCTTCTCTACTTATCAGTCCTGCCATTTCTAGAGCTTTAGCATAGGCAACACTTCCCTGCAGAAAACAAACGGGTGACAAGAATCAGAGAATAATAATAATAATACAAGTTAAAACAAGCAACACAAAATCCTCAATACAGTTTACATGGTAATACACAGGTAACAAGAATCAGAGAAGAATAATACAAGTTAAAACAAGCAACACAAAATCCTCAATATAGTTTACATGGTAACACACAGGTAACAAGAATCAGAGAAAAATAATACAGAGTTAAAACAAGCAACACAAAATCTTCAATATAGTTTACATGGTAACACATAGGTAACAAGAATCAGAGAAGAAGAATACACAGTTAAAACAAGCAACACAAAATCCTCAATATAGTTTACATGGTAACACACAGATAACAAGAATCAGAGAAAAATAATACACAGTTAAAACAAGCAACACAAAATCCTCAATATAGTTTACATGGTAACACACAGATAACAAGAATCAGAGAAAAATAATACACAGTTAAAACAAGCAACACAAAATCCTCAATATAGTTTACATGGTAACACACAAGTAACAAGAATCAGAGAAGAAAAATACACAGTTAAAACAAGCAACACAAAATCCTCAATATAGTTTACATGGTAACACACAGGTAACAAGAATCAGAGAAGAAGAATACACAGTTAAAACAAGCAACACAAAATCCTCAATATAGTTTACGTGGTAACACACAGGTAACAAGAATCAGAGAAGAAGAATACACAATTAAAACAAGCAACACAAAATCCTCAATATAGTTTACGTGGTAACACACAGTAACAAGGATCAGAGAAGAAAAATAAACAGTTAAAACAAGCAACACAAAATCCTCAATATAGTTTACATGGTAACACACAAGTAACAAGAATCAGAGAAAAATAATACACAGTTAAAACAATCAACACAAAATCCTCAATATAATTTACATGGTAATACACACCATGGGATAAACTCACAGCCAGATCTTTTTATTAAAACATTTGAGTTTTTTGAATAAAATGTGTTTTGTGTTTCATGCCAGAGTGACATAAAAGCTGTCATATTGCTAAGTGATGTTTGTAATTCACACTCTCATTTTTAAGTTGTTAAAATAGTTGGAACTCATCTTATTGTGACGTGGTTAGTTTCATGAAAAGTGCACTTTACAAACAGTTGTAAAAAAAAAAAATCTGATCAGGGGACTCAACTTTTGCGCCACCCTGTATTCATGTAAGCATATCGTTTTATTCGAAAATGAAAAAAAATTTTAAATAAAAAAAATAACTAGTGTTTTTGAATAATGTCACAATTAAATTTAAATTTCATTACACAAGACATTACACGAGTCACCTGACTATATTTAATAACCAACAACAAAATATGTGGCAACGTTCCCCACTCCAGACTAAAAACAAATTAGAACTTCTGACTACTTAATACATTGTATTATAAGTTTTGTTAGTTATATAAATTTATAAAATGTTCTACATTCCTTTTTCAGATTCGATAAAGTTTGGAACTGAAAGTTTGATGCACGTAACAATAATTTATAATTTCTTCAGTCCATTTTGAATGGTTATAATTACATGTTGATGAACATCCATATAAACTTATAGTACAACACAAATCCCTTAAATTCTCTACTAACCTTTATATCTACATTCCAGAGCCTTTTATCAAATTCAATGGAAGAATTGAATTTTTCCATGATGGGATCAATTTTTCCAGAAAATCGACCTCCCCACAACTTTGATTCCTTGGAATTAAAAATATTAATTCTTATTTATGCAAATCTTTTCGTACGTAAAAAATCAAACGTGCTTTTAAGATCAAATTTAGTATAAAAATCACTAAGTATTTGCATAGTTCCTAATACATATCTTAATACCAAACCAACACCAGTTGAAAACACAGAGAAGCAAGGACTTATTTTAATATACAAGTTGAAAAGACATTCAAAACAACTCACCGAGCAGATCATATACACATACTGTAGATATTTTAGAAATAATTAATAAATGCCGTCATCTAAGTGCATTATTAACTTGTTACTATTCATACCAGAACTACATGTTGAGAGAAAACACATGCCGTGCAAAAGAAAGGTTATTTGTTCAGAAATGAGTACTATCAATATCTAAAGAAATTCAAGAAAGTTGGTGAAACAAGAAATTAGGACATCAAAAGGGATATACGAGAAAAAGTTGGCTGAGAATGTAAAAATCAATATAAGGATTTCTTTAAATACACTAAGGGTAAACAAAATGTTAGGATGGGGGTAGGCTAGTATCGGATGATTACAAGATGGCTGGGTTATTAAATTTATTTTCTTCGGTTTTTACTAAAGAAGATTTAAGCAGTATTCCACATCTTGAACAGTTGATAAATGGAAATGAGATCAAACAATTCTGAGCTGATTAAGGAAATACTGGGAAGTTTAAAAAACGATAAGGTTCCTGGACCAGATAATATTTCCCTAAGGGTTTTGAAGGAGGTTAAAGATTAGATAAACGAG